TTTTTTGTTTTACAAATAAAACAACTGAAAATATAAATTATACTCAAATCCTTAACATGAAGATAGAGGAAGTAACAAATTTTAAGTTTTAACATACATTCCCCAAAAATTAATATATATCGAAGCATCATCGTTGACCTTTTGCAGTTCCAAATGTTAGCTAAGGGGCTTGTTCACTATTGACGTTAGGATTTGTGCTGTGATTATGTCACAAATATGGTGTGTTTTGGACATCATGATTCCATTCACGATAGAGCCTTCGTGCATATTGGAAAAATATTCGCATCTAGCTACTTATAGGTCATAATTATTTGTCATTACATCAGCTATTCAGCTTGGTTAGTAATGAACTTTTTAATCTTATTGATCAAAGTTGGACTCATGTATAAGAATAAACTCTCATAGATTCTATAATTAATTGTAGTGCGGATGACTTACCATCAAGATATCATTTTCTTTTAAAAAAAGTGAAAATGCTTAAATATTTTTTTTTCCTTTTCGAATTGAATCTACTATAATTGATATTTATAAAATATTATTGAAAAAACATTCTTTCTCTAGTTTGATATAATTTTTTTAATTTATAATTATCAATTTATAATTTATATATAATTGAGATATTAGAACAACTAAAAATAACTAAACAGAATATTTACAGTTAAGAGCAAGCTAAGCTGCAAAAGTTTAGAAGACATTAGAAGGTGGCAAAGTTGGCCTCCCCCACACCATCCAAATGCACCGAAGAGTCAGGATTCTGCCGTACTCTCCACTTGCAAATGTATAGTATTAAATGTCGATGGTCTTTGTGCAAACTTAGTGTTGACAAATTCAACTTGTAACACATCTGTCCTTACCCTTTCGTTTATTAAACAGTTTTTTATTTTTTTGTTTGGAAGCTGAGGGGCCCAACCCATTACAAATTAGACGGCCGAAAAAAACCCATTACAAATTAGGAGATTTATAAACTTAAAACGACATTGTTTCACTGCTAAAAATATGCCATATACTGATGATACAGATTCCATCAGTAAAACGCGACCACATTAAGGTCGGGATATTTGCAGAGGGAGATTGATATCCGTCAGTGTTTACATAACTATACTGATGGATTCGTGTATTCCAACAGTAAAAACCTGACATATACAACTGTCAATGGATTTTGTGCTTATATTTCTATAACCATCTACATTTACCCAGAAGACGTGAATAATACTTTGATTTTCAATAGTAAGAGCACTCTAGGAAAACTGTTTACCTGCAACTAGTTGTTGTGGCTTGCAAATTGCAATGGATGGTTCATGGAAGCATCCAGTATTTGACTGAATAATTAATGTGATATATGAGGTTAGAGTGGAAATTAAAGCTCTCTCTCTCTCTCTATATTATATTATAGAATGAAGATATATTTACACATAAGTTTTATACATTATACTTACAAAAAAGTTCAATTATTTATCTCTTTACTTTTAGTAATTAAGATTTATTTTGCCGTTTAAAAAAAAAGTAATTAAGATTTATTTACATTTATTAAAGATAATTATTTTTTTCTATTTAAAAAGTCATAATAAATTTCAACTATTAAAAATAAAGAGATAAATAATTGAAATTTTGTATAAGTGTAGTGTATAAAACTTGTGTGTAAATGAATCCCTCCTTAAATATATATATATAGATTAAAAATTAACAAATGCTTTTACCACTAAACATCAAATCTTCTGCATATAATTAGTTTTCTTCTTCCCCCACTAAACATTGACAACAACAGAGCTAATGAGAGTCTCGGAAGAGATTACAATTTTGTGCCGATGGATATTCGGACCATTAATCATTTTTCACCGAAAATTAACTAATAACAATAATATGTGATCAAGAAATGCAAATGGAGCTGGTTCTTCTACTATTTTATCTAACAATAAAGTCTCAAAATAGTCACATAATATTAAATGAGTTGATACATATATACCAATTCAAGTGTCTTGTCAAAGGAAAAGAGTGTATTTCAATTGCTATGTAACTATAGATTGTAAAATTCCATTGTATGATTGATACTACAATCCAGGGCTGTATGCAAAGGTTAGTAGATTAATACTAAGAGATGTTAAGGGCGCTAGTTTGGATTTTTT